GGATTCGTATCGGTTCGGCTACGCGTCACTCAAGTGCGAATTGGTTGACGTACAGCCTGCTTCACTTGTCACTCAGGGATCAAGTGTCCGCGAATGTGCAAGCAACCGTGGGAGATTCCTGTTCCGCTCCGAATGATATTACTTAACTCGGAATAGTCCCGGTAAAAATAATGCACGGCAACAAATCGTTGAAGGTATATGCCCTACTAGATAACGATTCGGATACCACGATAGGTAGTAAGGAAGTTTCCTAACTGTTAGAGCTAAGTGGCCCGGGAGTACGAATGAGCGTTCACACCTTGGACGGAGAGCAAAATATAGTTAGTCAAAGGGTATCATTCGAAGTTAGTCACCTTAGGGCTGATAAAGGCATTAAGGTAAGCACCGCATACACCGATCTGATAATGCCAAGAGCGCATGTACCGGCTAAGAAACAAACGGCTTGATTAACCGACCTGAAGGGTATAGAAAGGGAGCATCTGACTGACCATGGGGTTAGGTTTATCACTGGTTGTGTTTCCCCCAAGCTCAATGGGTGATTAGTGGTTGATACAGCGGGCCAAACGAGCTCTTTGCGATCAAAACTGCGTTGAGATAGTTGATTACGGGACCGTCCTTGAGCGTGACAGCTTGCAAACAAATGTTTACAGTTACTAGAGAGAGAGAGGAAAAGTGGCATCATGTTAGAGGATTTGTACAACAAGGAGTTTGAAGTCCTGCATACAATGGTCATACAACAATCCAAGGAAGATCGTTGAGCGTTACAAATAGCAGAGGAATCGATAAACCATGACAGGAAAGGATTAAGCATCGGAATAAGGTGGAAAACCAAACCAGAGACCATGCCGAACAAATACGAGCTAGTAATTCGGAGGTTAGAATGCCTGAAACGCAGGTTCATGCAAGATCCAAATTTATTTAACTAGTACAATATTTTATTGAACTACCACTTGGGCTCCATATTCGGTCTGGTCTATGACGATACCTAATGTCCTTGCTCCTCGTAAGAGGTACATGGCTTTCCATGGTCG